TGTTCAGCTTACGCATCTTTCTTAATAGCTGGAATTCTGTATCGGAGGAGGGGGAATATCTGGCCCAGCCTGCAATTTTCCTTTCAGCCAGATGCCAGAGAAGGGAGGGGAAGACTCTTTGTTTTGGGGCTCAGCCTTGTTTGCTTTCCAGGCTCAGCATCAGTTTTCCTTCCTTCACATCACAAAAGAGGCTTGAAATTATAGATAATAGCAGACAGAACCTGCTGTTTCGCTTTTAAATGTCAAAACTGATTAGGTGGTCTTATTCCATCGCAGAGACGTGGAAAAGCCATCTGACTTCTCTGTTTTCCCTACCCCCTGTTTAAATCTGCATGTTCTGTGTGAGCCCCTTCCCCCTCCACACATTTACAGTAGCAACATAGCCTGTTCTGGGCATGAATAAAATAGAGCAGATTGAGGCAGTTAACCTAAAAAGAGAAGCATCCTCAGCTCAGACTTCAGTAATTAAAAAGAGTGCCCCACCATTGCGGCCTCCTCGGCAGATGCAGAAAGGGTGCAGTGGTGCAACAGAAGAGCTCTTGGCCAAGATGTCACCAGCTTTGGTCCAGTCTGCTTTGTCCTGATTGTGAGGCACTTGTGGGGGTTCCGCTGGGGGTGTCATGATCTGGGCTGCCCTGGTGGGCAGAACCAGAATCAGAGCTGCCACCACCACTGTATTCGCAGGATCGGTCCCTGGCCCTGCTGGGGCTCCCGGTCTTCTGGCGAGGGCCAGCCAGGAGTCCTGGGGGAGCAGCCCCATACGCACCAGCTCCCCCCTCCAGAGCCAGAGCCGGCCCCAGCGGCGTGGTCCTCCCGTTTGCCGCAGCGCGCACCCCGGCCCTCACGGAGGTGCCTGCCTCGCCACGTGCCTCAGCAGCACACCTGTGCCTGCGTCCCGCCAGCCCCCTCCGCTCTCGGCTCCTGCCCGTGGCTCCAGCCGCTCCGCGTTGCCTCGCTGTTGTGCCCGCCTGGTGCCTGCCCCACACCCTGCCTCTCCGTGTGGCCGCAGCAGTGCAGGTTTGCCTGCGGGCCGTGGGCCAGCTCCCGCCTCTTCGCTGGGCAAGCCGCTTCCGGTTCCTGCGGTCTCGTGTCTCCTGCCACGCCGTGTCTCCCTCCCTCTTATCCTCTCCAAAGTACTGCACCTCTGATTGTTCTCCTGGTTGCCAACCCTCAACTTGTTCCTGACCACGTCCTTGCTCTGCCTCATGCCTTCTTCTGGTTCCTGACTTTGGCCTAAAACATGACTTGGCCCTTGCTGTTGGGCTTGCCATAAACCCTGCTCTGGGACTCTGTCTTGCTGAAGTTCTGTTGCCTGGGTTCTGGGGCTCCGGTTGCTCTTGCCCTGCCCTGTCCTGCCCTGCCCTGCCCTGCCTTGCTGGACAGGGGGCCTGGTTATTGGATACCCATACTGAATGCTTCACACCACTGTTGTGTAACATGCACAGGATTTAATAGAACAGCAAGGCAGGGCTGTCATGGATAGACATTTTGTAGGGCTTCCATTCATAGGGTTGGCATAAGTCAGAGAAGACCTGGCAACGCATCACAGCAACAGGATTTAATTTGGATTGATCCCAGAGGTATGGCTTGTGTACGAGCCGATTCTGAAACGTTTTTGCAATGCGAGGGTTTGCAGCTGTGCTAAAATTGCTTTTTGGTTGTGGTGTTCATTCTGCAAAAATGCCTCTGCTGTGTCTCCCTCAGCAAGCCAGTAATGTGGGTCGAACAGAGTGTGACGGACACAAGAGCCATCCTGGAACAGACATCAGGCCTATTTTGTCTGCCATCTTTTTCACACAGTGGCCAACATGCTACCCATTTTGGGTGCCTGTGGACCATGTGTGCAGTAGCCCCCCTCACTTGTGGGTGTAGCAGTTGGCACATGCCGAAGGCAAGCTGCCTCTGATTCAGGAGGCAATCTGTAGCCATTGGGACTAGTGGCCAGCAATAGCCATGCCTCCAGGAATTGTCCGTTCGTGTCCATTGCATCTTATGATAGCAGATTCCACAGTTTAATGGAAACTGTGTGAAGAAATACTTTTTATCTGTCCTGAATTTTCCACCATTCAGCTTCATTGGATGATCCTACTGGGATAAGTCCCCTTATCAACTTTTTAAGACCAGTGATAATTGTGTACAGGTCTGTCTTATCTCCTTTTTTCCCCAAACTAAATAGTCTCAACTATTGAACAGCAGAGCAGGTACCTTAATTCAGAGTTCCTGTGTCCAAACTGGTCCTCCTTTCAGCTGCATAGTAGGTTCATTTCACTGCATTTCTATAATAATAGCCAAAAAAAATCTCTGGGTGGCTCACAAAATAAAGTGATGCAAAGTCTCAAACAGCCACAGAATAAATTCCAGTAGTGGAGGATCTAAAAAGTGCACAGATCAAAAAGGTGCAAGCACATTTTAATGCCAAATGAAAAACAAAGCTTGGGAGAATAAAAAAAAATCATTGGCTGCCACTGAGCAGACTCTACTGTAGGTGCTGGTGACCCACTGTGGGTAGGGGATTCCATGGTTGGGGTGCTGCAGTCTGCTTTGCCTCATTTGGCAGGGAGACACCCAGAAGCTGAACTTTGGCTAACCAGGCCCTGAGCTAATTCGGAAATCCCGCTTTGAACTGGGTCCAAAAACAGTATGGAAACCAGTGCAGGCGGCAACATACTGGTATAATAATTCCAACCCCAGTTAGCAGGCTTGTTCTGTTTTGGAGTAGCTGAAATTTCGGGACCATTTTCAAAGGCAGCCCCATGTATGATGCATTCCTGTAATCCAGCTGGAAGGCTAACATATTGTAGGAGACCCTTGTGAGGCACTCTCTGTCCAGATAGGGTCGTGGTTGGTAGAACAACCTACCCGAGTGGCAAATGTCCTTGGTTGTGGAGGCCACCTGTGTATCCAGACCACAGCTGTGACACTTGAGGGGGAGCGTGGCACCTGCCAAAACGAGTTGAACACGAGCTGGCAGAAATGAGGAGCCACCTTCTCCGTCTCACCTCGGAGGAGCCTTGGTGGACTGGGGCTCTTCCAGCGCCCCACTGTGCCCAGCCGTTGGTCCACAGTATACTAGGTTACATGAGAAGGAGTGGTAGGGTTGGGTGTTGCCAGTTTATTGGCAATGCCTCAGTCCATCTCTCCAGGGTGTCCTGCACGTGCGAGGCACTTGGAGAAAAAACAGCCCTGTGGGACTCCATAGCGTGCTGGCACAAGGCAGAGTGAGAGTCCCTTTCCAGAACTGACTGATCAGAGAAGGAGAGAAGCCACCCCACAAACTGTCTGCAAGCCCCAACTCTGTCCCATTGCAGGATCTGAGCCTAGCAGTTGCAGGTCCAAGAGCTCCACGGGGGGCGGGAGAAAACAAGGACCAGGCAGCAGGCAAGGAGCAAGCAAGCAGGACCGTCAGAGGTCAGGCCAGAAGATCTCGCAGCAAGGAAGTGAGCCAGCAGCAGAGCCGAGGAAGGTTGGTCGGTGCTGCCTGTGGCTGTCCTCTGAACTGTCCATTGCGGCCCTGGGGCAGAGGCAGCAGGGCCTCGGCTGTGAGCCATTGGTGGTTGCAGCTGGGAAGGTCCTCCCCGTGATCGGGCCCTCGCTCACAAGGCTTCCTCTGGATCCATCCAGAACGCCGTCTGACTTTCTATCTTTCCAGCACAGCTGGCTGGAGCATGCTAGGATCTGTAGTCCCGACATCTGGAAGGACAGCAGTTTTGCGAAGGCTGAATTTAGATGGCCTGATGCAGTAGGGGTGAACCTTCTCATGAACTGACCTCTAAAGCCTTGCCTCAGCAATCGCTTCACGTTCATGAAATCTCAGCCCGAGTGGGATAATGGGCAGGGCGCTGAGATGACCGAGTTGTTGCATTGCAGCACAGAACACAAAATGGGTTTGTGACCATTTGCGTACACACAGATTTGTGTCTGTGTCCCCCCTCCCCCCATGTGATCACTGCAAGGAAAGAGTGGTGGTGACAGGAACTGATGCTGATCTGGAAGTTCTCTGTGGTTTGTTATGGCCTTGATTTGTTTAAGGGAATATTTGTCCCACCTTTTCCCATTTTTAAAAAGCAAATGTTCAGAGGGGCTTTTGACATACTCAGTGTTGACATCTTGACAAAAGTAAAAAATGTGCAGTCACAGAGGTCATGGCATGTGAAATGAATATGCACCCACAGACCCAGTAAAGGAGGACCGGGGTACGTGCATGTGAGAGAGGAGTCCATTTTGCAGTCCAGCACTGGCGGGCTTCTAAGCTTACTTCATTTTTGGTTTTTGCCCCTGCTGCAGGAAATGGTGACTCCTTTCGACAGCTCCTCCCCCACCACCCTCTGGCCAAGTCATGTTCTGGAATGCTGTTGACGTTTCAGGCCCTCACTCCCAGGAACCGGGAGAGCCGCTTCAGCCTCTCGGGGAAGAGTCAGAATGGCAGGGAAGCCCCCAAGCAGTCAGCTGGCTGAGGAGAAGGGCACCCTCCGAGGAAGACCCGCTCCGAGCATGCTGCAGCACTGCTCCTGTGTCTGGCTGAGCATGACCCTCATGCTGTTGGAACTCGAGAGGCCTGCTCAGGAGCAGAGCTGCTGCAACCCTGAAGTCCGCACTGCTCTGGCCTGGTAGGACGTGATGTCAGCTCCTTCTTGGGCTGGGCGTCTGGCAGTCCCACATGCAAGCCCTGACATCTGCTGCATGGAATTCTCCAGAAGCAGCAGTGCCACTCCAGGCAGGCCCACAGTCTCCCAAGGGTGCTTCAGATGTCCCTGTGCAATAACAGGAACCTTCAGTTGTGTGGAAATCCTTTTTGGGACCCTGGTTCTGAAGGGGGAGCTGCTTGAGCTCCGAGAGCCCAGCTCACTGCACGAGATGCCCTTAAAGGGACCTCGGAGTTGATTCTGCAGCTCTCATGTCTAAAATGCCACTGGGCATTATCAGGAAGGGAAGGAAAGACCCCATCCTGTTCTTCCTTTGGTGGGGGCACTGCTGCTAACAGGATCCTCTGTGTTTTGCAGGCAGCGTGATCACAATTTCCGGGCGCATGACCTTCACAAGTAACAAATCCATGGAAATTGAGGTCTTTGTGGATGCTGACCCATTTGTGGATGAGCCCCAGGAGCGATACCGGGCGGTCAGTGCGTTCTTCACCTACGTGTCCTTAAGCAAGGAAGGGAGGCCGCTCCCTGTCCCACAGCTGGTGGTGGGTGTTACCGTTTTCTCAATCATCTGGCCTTGCAAAACTTGGAAGTGTGTTTTCCTCTTTGGCATGCATTCCTAGATGACTCCAGAGGCATATGCATCCCGGGAGTCTGTGCTAGCCCCATTGGTTAGCAGTGTTTTTAAAGCAAACACAAAACCCCGCTTAGTGTTTCCAGCTGAATTTAAATGCACGGTTTAAACAAAACACAACATTGTGAGTGCCTGCCAGCACTGCTTCCCCTCTCCTTCCAGGGCAAACAGTCACATGAACTGAATGTCTTGCTTGTTAAAGATGGTGCGTCTTGCATGGTTCAGCTTTTTATGCAATGCCCCTGGGGTTCTTTTGTTTTGTCCAGCCAAATCTTGTTCCCTTCATTCAACAGGGGGAAGAACTGCTTCAGTTAGGCTGAGGAGGGTTTGGAGGATGGGAAATGGTTTACGAGAGAGATCACTGTTCAGGATGTGCGCTCACTGCAGCTCTTGGCTTTGACCAAGTGGCTTTCGCAGTTTGTATTGCTTTGGAAACCTGCTGAACCTATTTGACCAGAGCCACCCTTACAGAAGAGGTAACATGTATGTATTTGCAAATGTATGCACAAACATACATGCATGGGTACATCATGGGAAGAAGTGCCTCTTTCAAACCATTTTCATCTCTCTGAAATTCTGCCTCCAGCCTTAGACTATGACCGAGTGAGCCGGGCTTCCTGAACCTTCTTTGGGCATTTCTAGGGCACGACTGGCAGGAAAGGGCGAAGTACTAGCTCGTCCCATGCCCACCAGTCTTCCCCCGAAATTGACATGTGTACCCGCCCACAAATACTTTCCTTGCAGCTGAGCTTACCACTTTTCAGGGCCTGCCTTGGACTGGGGCTGAAATCACATTTGAGCAGACACAGCTCAGCAGGCAGAAGCGCCCTCCTTTTTCTCCCTTCCAAGCTTCCAGACCGTGCAGTTCGGCCATCTGGGCCTCTGGGAGGTCTCCTTCAGAAAAAGGAGTCAAACTCATTCTCTGTGTGTCTTTCGGAATGTTTTAAATTGCGAGTGTTCGGGACTGACAAGGAACTTGATACCAGCAGAGCTCTGGGCTTCTCGGTCGTGTGTGCTCTCCCTCCCTTCTGCTCCACCACTCTGTGCCTCCCCTGGCTTGCTTCTCCTACCTTCTGTTGTCAATCCTGCTTCCCTTCCTTGTCTATTTTTAGCTGTCTTCACCTGGGTCACTCTTTTACCAAGCAAAATGGCTGAGCGAGAGAGTTGTTCCGTGAGTAATATGTTATGCCTTGTCAATTCCCGGCTGCACTCGTCTTTTTCAATGTTTCAAAGCGTTTAGTCAGCTAGGTTTGATTTTTTGCTGCCTTAAGTGGAATTTATATAATTTTTTGATCCTGCTTTACAAAAACAAGCACAAGTGTCTTGTTTAAATTCTCTGATGGATATGAAAATATTTGTGTTTTCCCCTCACCCCCTTTTCATGCACTCCTTATGAGAACTTGGCTTCTTAATTTCTGGAAGTCATTAATGTGTGTGGGTTTTTTTACAAGGAGGTAGGGCTTAGCAAGGTTCTGTTTCATTTTTTCTGTTTTATTTGCCATGTTTACATATGTGTTCAAAAGCAGCTTAGTAATAATGAATAACAAACTGCCCAGAGAGCTTCAGTTGTGGGGCAGTACAGAAGTGAATTTATTTATTTATTTATTTAGTTATTTAATTTCTGTACTGCCCAACAGCCAAAGCACTCTGGGCAGTTTACAAGCATGCATTTATATATACATGCATTATATATAAACACACCATTAAAACACAATTCAAAATTTAAAACCAAATTTAAAGTAGGAAAAATAATGTTGAGAAAACCTCTGTTAAACCTGTGTAACAGGCCCCAGCTACTAATTAAATATACTGCAGGAGAGGACAGTCCTTACATTGCACCAAAAAGATAGTTGAGTCAGCACCAGGGAGAGCTCAGCTGGAAGCGCATTCCATGACTGGGGACCACCACTGACAAGGCCCTTCTCCTTTTTGCCACCAACTGATCCTCCCTTGGAGGCGGCATTTGGAGGAAGGCCCCAAAACCTGATTGCACTGTCTGTGTCGATGGAGGTCAGGAGAGGCCTTCCGTCAGGTGTTGTGGTTCCAAGCCATGTAGGACTTTACAGGTCAAAACCAACATCTTGAATTGGGTTCGTGCCCGGTTCAAGTGGGCCAGAATTGGAAATATGTGATCAGACCATCTGATCCCTGTTATTAGTTTGGCTGCCACATTTTGCACTAGCTGCAGCTTCCGAACAGTCTTCAAGGGCAGCCCCATGTAGAAGAAAGAGGAGGGGAGGAAGATGATGATGAAAGATCATAGAAACAGGATCTTAATGTGCATGTGCACATGTGTGCACACGCTTGCACACACACACTTAAACCATAAACCAACCAGTCAGTCAGCGAGGATCTCTAGGGAGAACACCAAAAGTGGAGGGGTGAAGGTTGTGCAGCCCTTCCAGACAGCAGCCATTTGCACACCTTCTGGCCACAGCTTCTGGGATGAGTGGGAGAGGACTAGCCACAAACCAGCTTAACTTCGTGCATTCAGGTGGCTGAGGAGGGACAAAGAAGGTACAGCAGAGAGCTTCTTATATCTGCGGGAACCCAAAGCAGTATGTACTTGGAACTATACCCAAAGCAAATCCTGCTATGCTATAGATTCAAAGCTGTCTGATAGGAAAGTGGGGTGGGAGGCGGGAGAGATCCCCAGGGCACTTGGAATTCTAGCAGCTTTCTTAGATGTTTGAGAACTGAGGCATGCCCCTTCCCAAATTGAAACTGGAGTCAGATCTGTCTTCTCTACAAGTTATTTTTGGAGCATCGAAGAATTGCCCGCCCTCACAGGAGCCCACCCCTGTGGCTTTGCATGAGTCACGGAGCCAGTGGGGTGCTGGGAAGGAAGCCAGTCCCAAGGAACTGCCAGGGTTCAGGCGGCCCGCTGCTCCTGTGAGGGCGGGCAGGTCAGCTGCCTCCTGCCCCAGGAGTGGCGCCGTCCTTCCGTTGTTCCTCCCACGGACCTGGGCAGCACGACCTGCCCCTTGGAGTGGCTAATTCAGGAGGAAGTCAGGTCCGTGGCAATGAATCGCTTGTCAGGCAACCACCTCCACAGCGACTGGAGGCTGGACGGGGTGGCCGCTGGATCTGGTCCTGAAGGCAGTTGTTCCCCAGGAGTGTCATGGGAAGGAGTCCAGTGCAGACTGCGGGCGTTTTCTGTGGCTGTGAGGCTGCTCCGTGCAGCAGGCATGCACAGTTCGAAGTGCAGTCGAACTTCAACTTTCGCAGTTTTGATTATTCGTGAGTTTTCCATCAATAATTGAATAGGATTTTTTTTTTTGTAGCCTACTGTGGAAAATTGCAGATAACACACATGGAGTAGAAAATGTCTGATATATGCAGGTATTTTTCTGAAACATAGAAACAAAGTGAGTCAGAAGGGGTCTCCTAGGCTGCATAGTCTGACCCCAGCTCCAGTCGGATCCGCTCATGTAATCCCCAACCGTGGTTGTCCAGCCTTTCCTCGAACGCCCCCAGTGATGGGGCTGCACCACCTCCCGCAGAAGCCCATCCCATTTCCTAGGGATACTTCCTGACATCCCACCCGAAACCCAGTTCCAAACATACTTCCTGGCTGTTTGTTCCACATGTTATTGCCATACATATCAGAATATAACACCAGAAAAACATCCTCTTATACACAAGTTGCCTTGCATGCTGGTATATACAGAATATCAGGAAAAAAGAGAGGGATGCTGCCCCTGCAGCTACCCCAGTGGGCGTGATGACACCAAGAGGGTGGCAGGGAGCAATCTGGCTCCTGTATGGTCAGCAGTATTGAGAGTTCGGGGGTGGGGCCCCAGAGGTACTTGTGGCTTTTCCACTTTGGCGGGGTCCTGCGCCCCTGACCTCACAGAGGGGGGAGGGCCGACTCCAGTTCTTTTAAGTGCTTAAATGTATGTAGGAACATTGCAGGCACAGAGACACTGGTAGCCGGGGGAGACCTAGCCGGGGTCCAGGATGGCCCTTGCTGTGGCAAGTGCTCCATCTCCTTCTGGCAAGGCTGCTGCAGTGCTGGCCTTCTTCCCAGTTGAGGGCTGTGGGGGCACTGTGGACGAGCAGCACAGGTCCAGAGCAGTCCACTTCCCCGGTGGGTCCCAGCTTGGAGCCCGGAAGCAGGGAAAAGCGGCTGTCCCCGACCTCATGCTGCGTTCCAGAGACCCAGTCAGCAGTCGGGGAGAAGCCCCTGCCAGTTACAGGAGCGGTGGACTTGTGGCAGCCCCAAATCTCTGACTGGATGAGCAAGACCAGGCAAAGTTTGTGGGGCCCTGCATGTCATCCTGTTTTCTCTTGCTGATCCTGAGAAAATGAGGCTGGGGGACATTTTCCTCTCCACATTAGGTGCCCCTCGCACACACATTTTCTGGATTGTGTGCCTACAAGGGAACATCCTTTGCTCCACGCAGCTGAAGAAAGGGAGAAGCTCTGAGCACTCTCCTCCCAGGCAGTCTTGGTGAAGGGGAGGGGGAGCGGGCTGGGCCCTCTTCTGCCCCTTTCGACCTTCATCATGGCTCCCCACAGCAGGGAAGTGGCGGTCTTGGTTGGCAGAGTTGGGAAGGGGGAGAGGTTAAAGCCCCTCTCTGCCTGCCCCCCATCTTCACGAGGAGGGCTGAAAGAAGGCAGAGCTACAGCCCTGGTCATCCTCAGTCTCCTGCTCTGGGGACTGCTGGGGAGGGGGAGGTCATCACCTTCCTCCCAGCTGCCTTATCAAGCCTGCTGTTTTTCCATGGCCTCCTGCCACCCAGCTCGTGGCAGATCAGCAAGGTGACATGGGAACATGTGCCGGGCACATCCAGGGGTCCCCTAGGCTGCATGTGGCCCACGGGAGGCAACAAAGGGATCTTATGGGCAGTTGTGCTCGGTTGGGATATCTGGTCTCAAGTGCAGAAACAAGTGGAAAGTGTGAACACT